TGCTGCTGCCCTCAGGCACAGAGGAGCTGATGTTCTGGCCACCCAGTGGGCAGCCTGTGCCAGTTTTGCAGTCCATGCACTGGGGCTCAGATAGAGGAAGAGGGAAGAAATCCAGAAATAAACCAGTTCAAAGTCTACACTTTTCCCTGAATGCAATGTTGCAGAGATTTTATTCCTCTGCTCTCATAAATACATAAATCTGCACAACTATACACTGGAAAATTAAATCTTTAATTACATCAGCTGTTTTCAAAAATCATGTTCAGAGTAGAGGTTTTCCATGGATAAGAGTTGGCAGATAGCCCCCCTCACCACTAGACAGCAGAAGGCCACTGGCCGTTTATAGCAACCTGCTCCACCCCTTTTAACCTGAGAAGACAGTAATGGGCCCCACAGAACCGACAGGGTGGGGCTGTCCAGAGGTTAGCTAGCTGGCAGGCTGAACCTAGAACGAGACTTAAGGATCATCCCAAGCAGGTTCCCAAGTGCAACTCAACTTGGGGTCAACGGGCCCACCCAAAGGGGAGATTTCCCGCCACCAAGGCTGCACACTCCCGCTAAGGCCGGACAGGGCGGGACTTCAGCCAGGACAGCCCCGTGTGCAGAGTGGGCGGAGAGGTGCCTGCTCCTGTAATTTCATTTCATTTCCATTTCCCCATCCAGGATTCATCTGTGTGCACTCCTATTCCCATGCAATCTGTAGTCTGTCTACAGGGAGGCAAGGGGCTCAGAGTTTACAGCTAGCTTGTGCCACTTTGGAGCCGTTTTTTCTGTTCAAGACTTGACAGATGAAGTCCCCAGCTTCCAGGAGCTTCTGGAAATTCACACCCTTGGAGAAACAAAGTAGAGGATGCAGTGAGTCAGGACACACCCTCAGTATCAGGGAGACATCCCGGTGTGACACTGAAGAAGGAAAGGTGACAACAAGCAGGCTCCTGTTCCTTTCTGACCATGGGACACCAGCTGCCTGTGAGGTCGTGTCTGTCTGGCATGTGGAGTTATCCCTTTGGCTCTCCCTTGCAAGTCTGTGATGCGACCATCAGGAGTGGCACTACAGGAATGGGGGAATCTCCATGCCAGGGCCACACAAATTTGGCCTGGTTGTCAAAAGTTGCATACTGAAGTGAAGGACTGTGAGGCAGAAGGATAGAAATAAAAATACCAACTTGGAAGACTAGGAAGCCAAGCTTTTTTCACAGTAGCTCACATGTTCCAATGTGTTCTATGTGCTTGGCTCTGACCTTGGCGTTCAAGAATTTCTGTTTTTGTTGTTTATTTGTATTTTTGGTGCTGGGGATGGAACCAGGGCCTTGCACACACTAAGCATATGCTCTGCCCAGAGCTACACCAGCAGTCACGTATTTTCTTACTTAATCTTCACCACAGCATATGAGATTGGTGCTGTTATTATTTCCACTTCTCAGGTTTGAGAGAGGTGAGCTAATCTGACATCTCCAGGCATGGTGGCACACACCTGTAATCCTAGCACTTGGGAGGCTGAAGCAGGAGGGTTGCCTTGAGTTTGAGGCTAGCCTGGGCTATGTAGTGAATTTAAGGCCAGCGTGAACTGCATTACGAGAGCCTGTCTCAAAAAACTAAATCAAAACAAATAATGTCATACAACCCGTGAGGGGCAGAACTAGGTTCTAAGTCCCATTTCATTGGATCTCAAAACATAGATACTATGTGGCCTCTATGTCACTAGGGTCCTTACAGACTGGAAGAGCCCTGTGGGGGTGGAGTCTAATTCTACCGCCTTCATCTTATAGAGAACAAAACAAAGACCATGATCCTGGCCCTTTTCAGGGCTCTTTTCATAATCCCTGGGCCTCGCAGAACCGTACCAGGGACATCATGCTAGGCCCCTGGCCTTCTTGGGCCTGTTCGTGACCTTGTTTGATCATATTCTGCTCCTTCAGGAATGTAAGATAAAAAACATCCATAATACCCTGGCACCTCTGCTCTTAACGCCCCCATCATCCAACAACCCCAAACACTGGATGGATCAGCTTCTGAGCCATCAGGCCAAACCCTGGTCAGTTCAGGCTACCACGACCAGGGGCAGGCGGGCTTACCGTGTGAATCCCCAAACCCGTCAGCATGTAGACCAGGTCCTCGGTGGCCAGGTTCCCTGATGCCCCCTGTGCATAGGGGCAGCCTCCAAGTCCTGCCACGGAGGAGTCCACGACACTCACTCCCATCTGAAAACATAAGGGTGGTCGAAGCACTGCTGCCACTGCCCCTGCAGTCCTACCTCCCTGCCACTGCCGGAGATGGTGCGCTATGGGAGGCATTCTTCCTTCGGCTTAGGTCTGGGGAGTGAAAATCCCACTGGAAGGTGGGGCTTCCCTGGCTTCCTGGAAGGTGTCTTTTTTCCTTCACGGTTTCCTTTTTAGACCCCTCCTCACCCTGATGATCTGAGCCTAAATTAAGCTACCTCCTCAGAGGCCCTGATCACTAATCCAAACCCACTGGTGTCTCAAACCTTTGTTTACCGAATCCCACACACACAGGTGCCCCAGGCTGCTGTCACTCTAACCACGCGAGGCCCACGTGGCAGGCCCTGGGCTGGCCACTTCCCACTCTCCTCGGTGACTGCTTCGTTCTCCTTTCCTTCTGCCTCCACCATCCCTTCCCCATCCTCAGTCTCAGCTGCTTCCTTAGTCACAGGGGAAACAGATGCAATCATTAGACCCCCCCGCCGCTCTACCCACTGCCTGAATCAGGGCCAGACGGCTCCCACTCCTGAGGTGACTGAGCTCTCCAGGTCCACCCTGACTGCTCCGCTGTCCCCGACTCCTGGGCTTGTTGCGCCCTCTGCTGCATCATTCTCGCAAAAGCAGGCTAGGATCGGGCCATCTTTCATAGCCTCTTTTGGTGACCGCTCCAATCTCCCATTTCTTTGGCCCCATTCAAAGGAAATGGCCTCAAAGGAGCAATCCCTACTCGTTAGCTCTGCCTTTCTAACCCGAGCCCATTCTGAATGAGGATTTCTCCCTACAACTCTTCCACTGCAGCAGCCCTGGCCAAGGTCACTGGTGACCTCCACACAGCTACTCATATCCAAAGCCCAGGCTGCCATCTTCTGTACGACAACCAGGAGTGTTATCCTAAACACTTTCTTCACACAGTGCCCTGGTTTTCCTCTGACACATCTGACTTCCAGAGGCCTCAGACCAATTTTTTTTTTGGTGGTACTGGGGATCGAACTCAGGTCCTTGTGCTTTCGAGGCAGGCTCCGGAACCACTGAGCTAAATCCCCAGTCCCAGACCAATCTTTTTTGTTTGCTTGCTTGCTTTTTTGAGACAGGGTCTTGCTCTGTAATTCTGGCTAGCATTGAACTCACTATGTAGCTCAGGCTGGCCTTAAACTTGTGGCAATTCTCCTGGCTCAGCCTCCTGAGTGCTGGGATTACAGGTGTGTGCCATCGGGCCCGGCTGTAGGTCCATTCTCTGCTGGCTCTTCCTCTCTCCCCGACTTCTAGAAGCTGGGAACTGGGTGGGGTGGGGTGCATCCCTACCCGAAACCCACGTCTCTTACTGCAGTTCTCGGGCCCCCATCCTCTTCCCCTTTTCACTGCTCAACTTCCTCCTGTCCTTCGAGCCTTGAGCCTGGCTCAGGTCTCTTTGGCCAAATCTTCCCCGACCCTGCAGGTGGGATGGGTGCTTCCCACCCCATGCTTCACTTCCTGGCATCCTTCATGACACAGCAGGAGGGTGACCGTGACTGTCTCCCCAGCACGAGTGTGTGACAAGGTCACCAGCTCTCTGTCCACTACTGCTGGCCTGGCCCTGGCATACTGACACTGGTGAGCAGACATGTGGAACTGAGCTGTCCTCATGCCCTTTGGGAGAGCGGCCATGTGCCTTTAGTTACCTGCAAAGCCATCAGGGTGTTGGCCAGGGCTTGGCCGTAGGTGTCATGGCAGTGCACAGCCACTGCAGCCACAGGCACCTCACGCGTGACAGCCGACAGCATGTCCTTCATGAGCCCTGGGGTGCCCACACCAATGGTGTCCCCCAGGGAGATCTCGTAGCAGCCCATGGAGTACAACTTCTTGGCGACCTGAGAAAGCAAACCAGTACACGGAGAAGGCCCGATTCCCCCAGTAGGGGCTGGAGTGCTGGGAAGCGGGGATTTGTGGCTCAGCTGGTCACCTGCACGTCTAAGGCACTGGATTCCTCCTGGGCACCAGGATCCTGACAACACTAGTGGGAACGAAGAGATTCCTCCCCTGCGGAGCAGAGCGAGCCACTGCGGCAGGCCCTCGGCCCCAGGCCCTGCACTGTACAAATTCTTCATCACTGAGTCCATACTCCCAGCCCCTCCATCTTTCATTTACAATCTGCTCTTTTTTTTCAGTACTGGGGACTGAACCCAGGGCCTTCACACTAAGCTACATCCCCAGGCCCTTTTTTTTGAGACAGGATCTTGCTAAGTCACTGAGTTGCCCAGGCTGGCCTCAAACTTATGGAGATCCTCCTGCCTCAGCCTCCAGGGTGCTGGCATTATAGGTATGTGGCACACTCACCTGACCCTGTGACCATTTATCAGGACACCACACAGTATTGGGAAACAAATGGCCTTTAAAGGGGGACAAACGTAGTCTGAGGCCTGACTTTACCATTTGCAACCTGGGTGTCTTTAGTTTGTTTCAACTCTAAAATGGGAGAATAACAAATTTGCAGAAATTCTGAGGTGAAATGACATAAGCTCCTGAAATGCTCAAACTCCATTCGGGCCCTGGGATCTCCTGGGCATCAACCCATTACTAGGAACCCTGGGGCTGCTGGACAAGGCCCTCTGAGGACACCTCCACGCAGCACACCCCACCCACCACACACACCTCAGCTACTTTAGCCGGGGAGATCTTCCCTTCATAGGGACATCCGAGCACACAGGAGACGTACCTGCAGGAAGGGGGAGGAAGGACATCGGTGCCCTAGGCTCTTCGGCCAGCAGGGCCCTGTCCAGGAGGGCGGAGTGGGAAGACCCGCAGGGGCCTGGGAGGAGCCAGAGAGGGCAGTGTGAGTGTGCACCTGATGGGAAAAGCGGACCCTGAGGCAGAAGCTGGGCCAGCGCTCAGGAGGAGACAGTCACTGGACAGGGCATTTTCTCTGCACGCGACCCTGCTGGAGAGCAGGGCACACCAGGGAGCAGACGGACAGGGGCTTGTGCTTGCGGAAAGCACAGCTGGGGAGGGAAGGATTTAATAAGCAGCTAAATGTCACATTCTAGGACATGGGGGATTATGGCAGCCCAGGAGAAGGGCACCAACTCGCACTGAGGGACAAGGCAGGCTTCTCAGAGGAACCGACATCCACAGTGGACCCAAACAGGAATGAGGTAGGCTACGCAGGTTCTGAGTCTATAAAGAGCGAGTACAAAGGCCCAAGGCAAGAGAGCAGACATGTGGCGAATGGAAAGAAACTCCAGGTGGGCTAAAGGGTGATGTACAGAAAGGAACCATAAACAACAAAGTCACAGTAAGTGGCAGGAACTGAATCATGCAAGTCCTGTAAACCACATCAAAACGACTGAACTCAGCTGAGGATGTAGCTCAGTGGCAGGGTATGCACTTAACACACACAAAGCACTGGGTCTGATCCCCAGCATGGGAAAGGAAAAATTCTGAGCTGGGAATTCTGAGCACGCCTGTAGTCCCAGCCCTCAAAAGGCTGAAGCAGGACTGCTGTGACTTCAAGGCTAGCCTTCCAGATAATATTTCAAAAAACCAAAAACAAGTACGAGGTCCTGAGTTTGATCCCCAGTACAAAAAAAAAAAAAAACACCTCTCCCCAAATAAAAAAGAAAAAAGGGCCTGGGGATGTAGTTCAGTGAGAAGACCCTGGTTTTAATCCCTACAACTGCAAGGAAAAAAGAAGCCTGAACTTGGCCAGCCACTGAAGGGTTTTTTCAGGAGTGACAGATGTGAGCTTCTGAAGATGCGGCTGCTGTGTAACCTGACAGGAGCCTGACCTCACTCTCATCACGGGAAGGTGGAGGTTTCAGACATTTCACACCAATACCTGCAGGCGCTGCTGTTGGGACTGAGCCTCAGGAGCGCCGAGGGACGTGTCAGGAGCTTGTGCAGAAGCCGGGACTAAACTCACCTCCATCTCATGCCCTGTCCTGCCGGGTGATGCTGGTGCACTGACTGAATTCTGAGGTGAGCAAAGCACCTGTCAGGAGGTGTGGACCACATTTCCCTGGGGTGTGGCGGGTGGGCTGCCCCAGCGGGACAAGGAACTTGTGGTGGGGGAGGACAGCTGGGGTCAGAACTGAGCCCCCCAAGGAGGGCGCTGAGGGGACACGAGGGGATGCAGTGTGGCCTGACTCACCCCCGCACAGGAATCCCGGCAGCCTGCGCGGCCTGCAGGACCTCACCCATGCGATGGAAGCTCTCCTCTATGGAGCAGTTGATATTCTTCTTTGAGAACAGCTCCGAGGCAGCTCCGAAGACGCTTACTTCCTTGGCGCCAGCAGCCACCTGCCAACGCCCAGGGAGTTCCCTCAGCACCTTTCAAGGGTCACTGACATTGTGGGAAAGGTCAGGGAACGTTACAGGCTGGGCTGTGTCCCCTTAAGAAGATGTGCTGAAGTCTTAAGCTCCAGACACTCACAATGTGACCTTATTTGGAAACATGGTCATTGCGATGTAATTAGGAAAGAGGAGGCCACGCGGGAAGAGGGTGGGCTTCTTATCCGCTGTGACTGGTGACCTTAAGAGAAGACGGCTGTGTGACGTCAGAGACAGAAGAGCAGCCCATGTGAAAAGGCGCAGTCCCCAGGGTGATGCATCGACCAGCCAAGGGTGCCAGGGCTGGAGGCCATCAGCGGTGCCTGGGAGAGGCTGGGGGTACTCTCTGAGTTCTCAGAAGGAACCAGCCCTACTGACACCTTGATTCTGAGCTTCTGGCCTCCAGAATGTGAGAGAATAAATGCATTCTTAATTTTTTATTTTTTGTGGTCCAAAAAATATGGAACAGTTTACAAATTTTCATGGCACCCTTGTGCAGGGGCCATGCTAATCTTCTCTGTATCGTCTTAGTTTTAGTACGTATGCTGCCAGAGCGAGCACTATTCTTGTTTTAAATCACCCAGTTTGTAGTACTTTGTCACAGCAGATCTAGGAAGTACACAGTGAACTCTACCTCAGAATAAACCACAGCTGGGGGTGTGGCTCAGTTATTAGAGCACTTGCCCAGCAAGGTGAGGACCCAGGTTCCATCCCTGGAACCCCAAGGTTCCAACAACTTTAACATTTCCCAAGGAACACCACTGCTGCCACTGTTACTATCCTGAAATCCACACTTGAAAGGAGCCTTCTGCCTAAATAGAGAACCAACACCTAGCAGGGATGCTGTCTGCTGTCTAGAAAAATGGTAGGCTGGCAGATGGCAGAACTACTGCTGAAACTCTCAGGAGAACCTGGTTACCTTCCTCTGAAGAGCTAGCATTTTCTCTGCACTTGTCATATGCCGGGCTCTTGCTAAGCAAACCATGTGTAAGCTATTTTCTGAAATCTTCTCAACATCGGGCACTACCATTCATCCTACTTTATAGGCAGAACTGAGGCTCAGAGAAGTTAACAACTTGTCAGGCTCACAAAGCAGTGAGCAGCAGGGCCAAGACTGCCCCAGGATACAATGGTGCCAGTAACCACCACAGACAGGATGTTCAGACAGACATTCCAGGACAGGGAACCACGGGGACAAACACCATCAATCTTACCCTAGGACCCCCACCAACAAGCTGTCCTCTTACCGCTGCCTCAAAGCCTTTCATATTTGGAGTCAGGACTGGGTAGCTGATGCCAGGAAACTTCTGAATGCCCTTTAAAACTTCAGTGTGGTCAGCCATCTAGGAGCCAAAGGACATACAGCCCAGTCATCACCAAGGCAGGAAGAGAGCCCTAAGTTAGAGAAAGCCTTTTCCCCAGAGTCTCTGCTCTCCAGCCCATGTGGACAGTAAGTCTTCTACAGGGCTGAGTTTCCCATCATGTTTACCATCTGTGAATGCTGTGTGGCCTGGAGGCCCATGGGTTTGAGCAAGATCCCCGATTTCTCCTTACGGCTGATACCACCAGTTTCGTGGAAGCAGCACCAGCAGTAAAACCACCACTTGCCATTTGCCTAAAACATTCTCCAGCCAGGCACTGCTCCACTCCTCATTATTTAATGCTCATTTCGTACCAGGTTCTTTCTTTTCCAGTTGCCCAGCTTTGTGAAGCAAGATGTCTTTTATTGCATAGGCATGGAGAGTCTAGATTGTGTGTGTGTGTGTGTGTGTGTGTGTGTGTGTGTGTGTTGGTTTTTTGAGACAGGGTCTCACTATGTAGTTGAGACTGACCTGGAACTCACTACGTAGCCCAGGCTGGTCTGGAACTCATAGTGATTCCTGCCTCAGCCTCTGGAGTGCTGGGATTATAGGTGTGTGCCACCACGCCCGGCTGAGACTAGATTTTTAAAAATGGAAGAGACCTGCTAGGCCATCTGCAACCTGGAAAGGCCATACCAAAGTCACCAGAAAGCTGGGCACCGCTGAGACTGAACTCAGCACACACACACATAGCACCTTGGCCAAGTCATGTCCTTTCGGTGCAACTCAGTGCTGGGAATCGCCTGAGACCTCTCAAAGCCAAAGCCATGGGAACCTATGCTCCCAACTTCCGCTGGCTTCAAGAGCCAACACAAGACTTCCCACGCTCTCGTCCAGGAAAGGCCTCTTCCCAAGTCTGGGGCTCACCTGAGGAACCCACTTGGGAGACACAAAGCTGGTGGCTTCTATGACAGGAAGTCCTGCTTCCGAAAGCATGTCTATCAGCTTGATTTTCACTGGTGTAGGTACAACATTCTACATTGGAGAGAGAGACAGCAGAAAAGGTAGGTCAGCACACAGTACCGGCTGGCTCCCAGCTTTTGCTGCAGCCAGCACCTCAATGTCTTGACTTTCAAATGCTAACATAAATTCACATGGTATCCTGCCAATGCTGATGATGGGGTACAAGGCTTGTCTTATAGATCCACAGAGTGTGTGTCACAGTGGCAACAGCTTCTCATCTGAAAAGGAGTTAGTGTCTTCATGGAAATAGTATTTTTCTACCATCCAGACTTTTCCTTAACTAAATGTATGCTAAGTTATGGCCCCATCATAGACAAATTGAGACCGGGGTGCACAGTCTGGAAGGGTACAGATGACTCATGCTGTCTGGGTCCTACAGGATGGAGTCCCAAAGTACCACACCCTCCCTTTCCCCCTTTTCTAGCTCCTAACAGCACAGGACTTTGCGCTCAAGTGCTCTGCCTGAAGCCTCCTTCTCTCCCTCCCCGACACCTAGTCACGCACAGATTCTATGATTCCTCTCTGCAAATCTACAGCCATCATCTCATGGATGCACGGCATGCTCTCATTCTACCAAATCTTCCTACATGGGAATCTTCCAAAACCACAGCCTCCATTGTTTCATTTTCCTGTTTAAAAGCCTTCTGGGCCAGGTATGGTGGTTCACGCCTATAATACCCACATTGGGGAAGGTGAGGCAAGAGGATCATTGTGAGTTCAAGGCTAGCCTGGGCTACATACTGAATTCAAGGCCAGCACGAACTATATAGCGAGAATTGTCTCAAAAAAACAAATAATAGCCTTCTGTAGCTCCTTAGCACCAAAGATTAGGTCAAAATTCTCAGAACTCTAGGTTCATCTCACCAGGTCCACCCACCTGGCCCCTCAAATTTCTCTCTTGCTGATTTAATTTAATACACCTGGTTTTGGGTTTGGTTTTGAGATGGGGCCTTATTGCGTTGCCCCTGGTTTTAAACTCACAGGTTCAAATTATCCTCTCAAGTAGCTCACAAAAGCTGTTGCTTGTTTAACACTTTTGTTTTGGTGGTACTGGGGATTGAACCCAGGGCTTTTCCACTGAGCTGTACCCCCAGGCCCTCTTTTAAAAAAGTTTTATTTTAAGAGAGGGTCTCACAAGTCACTAAGTTGTCCAGGCTGGGCTTGAATTTGTAAACCTGCTGCCTCAGCCTCCCAGGTAGTAGAATCACAGGAATGTGCCACCAGGCCCAGTTACAAACAATTTCTAAAAGCCTTGTATTCAGGCATGATGTTGGATGCTGGGGACATAGCAGTATCACAACAAACTAGATGCTGCCCTCAGGGAGCCTCCACACTACTGCCTCCAAAAAGTATTCACAATTAAAACCAAGCTGGTCATGCTTTTTTTAAAAAAAGGAGAAAAAGCTTTCAATTAATTAATTAATTAATTAATTTTCAGGACAGGGTCTCACTGGGTAGTCCAGGCTGGCCTTGAACGCACAGTGATTTTCCTGCCTCAGTCTCCCAAGTGTTGGGATTACAGTCTTGGGCCACCATACCTGGCTAAAAAAGGCTTTTTTTTTTTTTGGTTTTTTGGGACAGGGGCTCACTGGGTAGTCCAGGCTGGCCTTGAACCCACAGTGATTTTCCTGCCTCAGTCTCCCAAGTGTTGGGATTACAGTCTTGGGCCACCATTCCTGGCTAAAAAAGGCTTTTTTTTTTTTGGTACCGGGGATCGAACTCGGGTCCTTGTGCTTGCAAGGCCGGCACTGGAACCACTGACTCAAATCCTCAGCCCTTTTTTTTTTTTTGGTTTTTTGAGACAGGGTCTCACTATGTATTTGAGACTGATCTGAAACTCACTATGTAACCCCAGGCTGGTCTTGAACTTACAGCGATCCTCCTGCCTCAGCCTCTAAAAAAGGCTTCTCTTAAAAAAAAAAAATGTATATATATTTCTACATACTTTCTACATACAATTTGCTAGTTGCTAGCCATGTGTGGTTGTTTAAATTTAAATTGCTTAAAATTATACACAAGTTTGGTTCCTCAATCAGACAAGAAACTGAAACTTCTACAGAAAGTTCTGTGGGACTGCACTATTTTACACTGTTTCCCAGGTAAATGTTTCCATACACAGAAGCTTTGTTTCTTAAAGTATAAAACTGAATATGGGTGTTATCTTATAACCTTGAGTTACTCAATATATTCTTACATTAACAGCTTTATAATGTTCCATTTTATGAAAAGTCCCTAGTGTATTTGACCCAATTTCCCTGCCATATGAAATTCCAAAGCAGATGCCAGAGACATTTTTATTTTTTGGTTGATTTCCATCTTTACCTTTTCATTTTGTAGACCATCTCGGGGACCAACTTCCACAATTTTCACCTGCTTTGGGAAAGTGCCCATAGATAAGGTGCTGACCTTTGGTTTAAAAGGGGAAACAAAAAGGGAAAGAAATTGTCACCATTTACCACAGGAACCATTCTGACAGGATGCATCCTTATTCACTGCTACTGAGACAAGAGGGACTATTTTTTACTGTTTAATTTGTGTGTGGTCTCTCTTAGGATCAAAAAGCAGACTGCACTGACGAACACCAATGGGCAAGGCTCGCATCCGAGTACAGGCTCTTCCCTGAGATCCGGACGCACTTCCAGCTGGCCGTGTAACACTATCTGCACCTCTCAACTGTCCCCGAGAGAACTCTAATTTCTCCTATAAAGCCTGTCTGACTTCACCCTTTCTAGCTCTATAAAAGTTGTCCCATGTGCCCATCCTGTTGTTTAAGCCGGTTCCTGACTAGTCCCCTTCCTGTCTGCTGTGGCCTAGAGGCTCCCGGGAAACTCAACCCAGCCTTGTGGCTTTGCTCCAGCCCCTCACTTCTCTCCCACAGCAGAACTGTCGGTGCTCTGCTCACATCTTCCTCTCACCCTTCAGTCGCAGAGGCCTCCTCTGACCAGTCTGCATGGCTGTTGATCCCCTCACCTCCGCTATTTTCTGCTTTAGGACTGCAGTTGTTATTTCCTTCAGAGCACAGCCAATATGCTTACTTGAGGTTTCCGGCAACAGCATGAAGCTGTTCAGAGACCTCGTCTGCCTCAACCTCATTCCCACTGTTTGGCACTGAGCCTGCCACACGGGAGGCACCGATTAAAGTTACTGAAAGGGGCTGTGGATTTAGCTCAGCAGTGCCTGTCTCACAAGCACAAGGTCCTCATCTCCATCCCCAGGGCCGGGGCCCCGTTACTTGAAACCACAAACCAGTGAGCTCTGGATCCTGCAGCATGCTTGGATATAGGAGAGATCTGTTCTAATCCTAGGCTGATGGGAAGAGGGAGAAAGAAGTCTGAGAGAAGATGCCCCTGAGGGAGGTTAAAAATATTTTTTTAAAAAGCCTCAAATCTCCTTTATATAGTTCGCCCCATATCTAGCCCTCCTCCCCACCCAGTAACACAGGGCAAGTATCACAGGGCTTCTTTTCCTCTACCCTTAACATAACTCTTCAAATCAACTTCATTTTACCAGATTTCACCTGTATAACATACTGAAGTGAGGCAAGGGAGGAAGTATGCTGTATATTCTGCCAAGGATCCCAATCCCCCGAGACCTGTAAGGAAGGAAATATACTCTGCCTTGAGCCAGCTGAAACTTGACAACTCACCTAAGTGGCCCTGGTTCTAGACAGCAAAGCTTCTTCTGGACTAAGGTGATAAACCACTGCTTTATGAAGCCAGCAGACTGAGCGGGAAGGTCCCTGCAACTTGAACGTCCCTCCAATAGAGATATTTGCTTCTCCTGGTCTATTACCCTAAAAGTATTCCAGTGGAACTTGAGTTCCACGAGGCAGGTCTTCTTTTACGAACCGGTGCATTTCCAAGGTTCTACTATGTAATAGGTTTTAACAGATAATTTAATTTTGTTGAAAGAATGCAATACCTGCTTCCAAATTTCTTTTGGAGAACAAGATAAAACTCAGTTCCACTTCCTTGCCCATAACAAATCTTTATACAATAAGTCACATTTATTAAGTGCTTACTATTCAGCAAGGACTTCTAAGAGACCTTTACCTATTCACTCATCTCTCCCTCTCAGCAATTTAGGACTATCATAATCCCCATTTAGCTGGGAGAAATGTGAGGCACAGAGATGAACTCTTCCAAGATACACGGCTAGCTAGTCACCGAGGAACATCAGAACCTGGCAGTGTGGCTCGACAAGTGCATATCCCTAACCCCTAAGCCATCGCTGTTGCCTCTTTACCACCAGGCAGGTCAGTTCTATTCTGGTTAAATGCTCAGATCCTTCTTAATGTAGAATTCTGCTCAGAGATGATCTTCTCTAACAACATAACCACTGTGTTGCCCTGTCCTGAGCTATAGTGTCTATATCAACACCAACAGTAAACAACGGCTAACATCCAGTGCCAAACCACTGGCATCGGTGCGTCCGGGCAGGGACTATCCAACACCCAGGATGAAACTAGGCCTTCGAAAGATTACTCAAAATCACACATCTAGAAAGTGACATAGCTTGGACTTGAGACCAGATCTGGTTCTGATACTAAACCATGCTAGTAACCTCATGGGGAATCATTTCATTATATAAGGCTTTTGTTGTTTTCCCTGGGGCCATAAACTGATGCCATTTTCATTTTACACACGTGCAGCTGATGGAGGTGAGCAGCCTAAAAACATGAAAGTGTCTTTCTGAGGAACCCACTGCCAGGAGAGTGTAATTTTCCGCACTGTAGATATAACTACTTCCAAACTCGAAGGTAAAAAAATACCACCGATTGATCGTTTATTAAGAGCCAGAACAATGCCAAATGCTTGATCTACATTTTCTCTAATCTCCAATATGACCGTAATATCCATTTCACAGGTGAGAAAACTGAGGTTTCTGAAGAGTAAAACCCTGTCACTGAACCTAGAGAGCAGTAAGACCACACTGGCACACGCTTTAACCAACACAATTTATTTAACCCTTTACACAGCTGGCTCGGCTACACCTTCCCTGCACTCACTGAGCAAAACATCAGGTTCGAACAGAATCAAAGGGCAATCTGAAGGGAATCACAGCCTGGCCCCACTCCATCCAAATTCTCCCCCAAAGTCCCTAAAACAACAGAAGCTAGAAACGAAGGCAGGAACAGAGTGACCTTGCTTTTTCCACACGGAAGGGGAAGGGTGTTCGTGTTTTTCACTAATGAAGCATTGGAAAGGTCTGAGGATCAATAAGAGGAAGAAAGAAGCCAGGGCGACGGGGAGGATCCCTGGACAGAGAATCAGGACATCCAGGATGTCGTCTCAGGTCTCCATGATCCGAAAAGATCGCTTCGCTTCAGCGGGCCTCAGTTTCCCCACACTACCAAGGGCTCTGAGACAGGGCGGGTCCAAAACTTCAACACCCTCCCAGTTCTGGCCAGAAAGTGACGGGCTTCGCCCCACGGGAAGCAGCCGCCACGCCACGGGCCAAATCCCCGAACCCGACCGTCACGGTGCCTGTGGGGCCGCCGCCTGGGCACTTACAGCCCTAAGGGACGCCAAGCCCACCAGCCGCCGGGGAAGAACACGCCTCACGCCCGCCATCTTGGACCGGCTTCCTCTGCGGCCGCCCGCTGCGCGCACATGACCGCAGGTGGGCGTGGACTGGACTTGGGCGGGGCCTTGGGCATGACGTCAGATGCCCTGCGCCGCTCTGCTATGAGTTCATGTTGCTTTTATTTTTGTTTCAATTTTTTTGTTTGTTTGTTTCTGGTACCGGGGATTGAACTGGGGAGACACGCGGCGGAACCACTGAGCTTAAATCCCCGGCCCTATTTCAATTTTTTAAATTAATACATGTTTGTAGTCCATAACCAAGATAAGTAACTATATGCATCCACCCAAATGGCTGAAATTAAAAAGCAAAAGAAGCCGGGGGTGGCGGCGCGAACCTGTAATTCCCCATGTGGGAGGCTGAGGCAGGAGGATCTCAGCGAGTTCCAGGCCAGTCTGGGCTACAGAGTGAGTTCTAGGCCAGGCAGAACTACACAGTGAGACTCTTATCTCAAAAACAAAACAAAACAAAACAACCCCAAACCCAAACAAAAGAATGACTGCGTTGCAAAAGACCATAGCAAGTGTTAGAGTGGTTGTGATAAAAAAGACACCCATGCACAACTGGTGGGAATGCAAATTAGTACATCGTTTATAGAAAATAATATGGAAATTTCTAAGAAAATTAAAAATAGAGCTACCACACGACCAAGCAATTTACCACTCTATCTATTATCTATTAATCTCCAAAGAAAGCGAGATTGGCATATTGAAGGGAAATCTGGATTTCCATCCCCATGGAAACTTTAATCACAATAAACAGGACATGGAATCAAACTGTGTCCACCATTTGGTGAATAGGTAAAGTGTGTTTCCCTCCCTGGGAAATACATTTTGATGGATGCTTCAAGAAGGAATAAGATCCATCCCGGGGAAGAGAATGCAGGCAAAGCTTTCCACACAGAGGACTGAGCATGTGCAGTAGCCGGAAGCAAAGAAATTGAATGCTTAGAGCAGCATTTTCCAATCTTCACGTTGTGTCCCACTAACTGGTTGTAATATCAATCTTGTGGGTATGATTTTTTTTGTCACTTTGAGGCAAGGTTTCCTTATGCAGTTCAGGCTGGCCTTGAGCTCACAGCGATTCTCCTGCCTCAGCCTCCCATATGCTAGGACT